AGAAAGAAAGAAAGAAAGAAAGAAAGAAAGAAAGAAAGAAAGAAAGAGAGAAAGAGAAAGAAAGAAATGAGGCAATGACTGGCCTCTAAAAAAACAAAAAAAACAAAAAAAAAAGATCTGGGAGGGGAAGATCCTCAGGGTTTCTGGCCAAAACAGAAACAACTGCTATTTACATTCATTTTGGGGCAATCAGGGCCCAAATAATGACCAAGCAGGACTTGAACTGGGATCTATTGTTGGCCAATCAATGACAACCAGAGTGAAGGACAAAGCAACCAACAGTATTCACAGCATACACACATACTAATATCTGTCTAATTTACCTTGAGGTTTATGAGTTCTCTGGGCCTTTTTAAAAGGATTATATCTTCTATATGTCCCCCTGGTATGCCACCAGCACTTGATTTAACAATGACAAGATTATTCCCCTATTCCTTACAAGGAATATCAATATAGTATTAAATTTAATTCACCATTCCATACCTATTTTTCAAGATTCTAAAGCTGGGGCAGCTAGGGGTGGAGTGGATAGAGTACCAGCCCTGAAGTCAGGAGGACCTGAGTTTAAATCTGGTCTCAGACCAAACACTTGACACTTACTAGCTGTGTGACCCTGGGCAAGTCACTTAATCCCAATTGCCTAAGAAAAAAAAAGATTCTAAAGCTATTATTAATAGGCTTTACAAAGTTTAGGACTTTTCTTCCATACCAAGTTATCCCATAGCATCTTCACTCAATCACCAAGAGGAATTCAATGACTAAATCTAGTGACCCACTACTACCCAGCTCCACATCAACCTGAGCTGATTCTTTTGGAAGTTCTCATCACTTCTCAACAATGACACAAATTTTTAACTATAAAGCTTAGCTACAAGACAGGCATACTTATGGTAGCCTGAAGACCTGAATAGGAGTTAAGAGATCTGTATCCTCCTTGGCTTTCTCAAGTCCTCAGTACTGCAGGATATTATTTATAAACAGAGTCTAACGTCACTTGATCCCCACCCACCTATAAAAGTGGTCTGACAAACTTTGTCTCCAAAGAAGAGATACAAATATGTACCTCCTTCCCTGCTTTGCAGAGGCAGGGAACTAGGAGTGTCGTACACTGCATATACTGTTGGACATGGGTGATGGGCTGGTTAGTTTTGGTGAACTGCCTTCCCCTCCTCTCTTTTTATTTTTACAAAGAAGGGCTCACTAAGTAGGGGAGGAGGGAGGAATATATTCACAAATGAAGGAAATATAAAAATAAATATTCCAAATGAAAATTTTCCATTAAAAAAGGTCTGATCCAGTGAGAATAAGTTATTACACTATTTGTAGAATTTCCTCTTTTCCCTAATATTTTCACTCTAAACAAGGAGGAAAAAGGAACAGAAAATTATGTACACACTTGGCTCCTGGATCCAGAAGATCCCATTCTCACCCTTACTTGCCAAAGAATAATAACTCCTCCAAGTTCTTCAGCAATCAGTGGTAGAGTTCATTGCAACCTAGATCTAGGATCCTAACATTTCTTTCTCCTACATTCTATGAAGTGCAATTACTGAGTGTACAGCCACCATGTCTATCAGAAAGATAATTTGCAAAATCACTGTCATTTTACACCTCTCCTTCAGGATCTCATAGGTTATTCCAGTGAAGTGTAAGTTCTGGCAGGCGCTACCAAGCCTGGAAGTCTTTGAATACACACCGGGTAACAGATAGCATTTCTGTTGTCCAAGAATCAGCCTACCTAAATCCAAAGATTTTCAATCCTAGACTGGCTGCAAGGTGATTAATATTTTGGCCACAATTCCTTAACATTACCTACTAAATTACAGAGAGGCTGCAATCTGTGTCAGTGAAGGGAGTACCCCTGCTGATGAAATTACAGATCTTTGAATTATTTAAGTGTTTACACTGAGGACACCCATTCTTTTCAACTTTTAGAGTTGAGGACTTAAGCACCTTTGGTCCAGAAGAAAAAAAAAGGTGGGATAGCCAATGGCCAGCTAATGCCATTCTAACTCATTAGTCCAATATCTTCCCAGCTGGGTGGTGCAGTGGATAAAGCACTGGGCCTAAAGTCAGCAAGGCCTGAGTTCAAATCTGACCTCAAACAATGACTAGCTGTGTAACCCTGGGCAAGTCACTTTGTCTCTATTTGCCTCATCAGTTTCCTCAACTGTAAAATAAGGATAGTAACTACCTACCTGCAGGGCTGTCTTGAGGATCAAATGGGATAATATTTGTAAACCACCCAGCACAGTGCCTGGCACACAGTAGGTGCTTTATAAATGCTTATTCCTTTTCTTTCCTAAGGAATTTAAAGTTCATTGGAACAGCAAACAAATGTCCCAGTGGAGACTGCTCAGTGACAGTTACTGCACTTTACACCAGGCAATGATGAATCCAGCCCAGAAATCTCCAGCTGAGGGGATGTGGAACAGAAACTAAGGTGAGGAAGAAAAGGCAGAAAGTCAGTCAAGGTGAGATTGAAAGAATAAGTACGATTCACTTTCTTCCCTTTATCATGCCTTAACAGTGGTTGGAGTGGGAATAATAATAATAACAATCACTCACTTTTATATAGCACTTTAAGGTTTATGAAGCACTTTTGTCATAACAACGATGTGCTGGTATTATCACCCCCATTTTACAGATGAGGAAACTCAGAGAGAAGTTAAGGGACTTTCCCAGTCACACTGCTACTAAGTGTCAGAGCCAGGCCTCAAAGCCAGGTCTGTCCCAAGTTGAAGGCCAATGTTCGCTCTACTACACCTGGCTGTCTCTTGTTACCTGCTGCTGCAGACAGAAGGCAAGAAAGGATAACAGCAAACAGAGCACATACTACTGTATGTAGACTTAATCTATACAAATTAATCAGAACTGAGCATACAAACACTCCAGTCTTATAGTTCTGTGTAACAAGACCCTATAAATCATTGGCCCATAAGATCCTAATTTTAGAGCTAGAAGGGCCTTGGGAAGTCATCTAGCTTAATGCCCCTCATTTTACACATGAGGAACCTGAGGGGAAAAAAAGGCTTAATTGGCTCACTCTGGTGAACACAACCAGCCAAAGGCAGGGCCGGCCAAGATTCACCCCCAGGGATTCTGACTCCAAATTCAGCTTTCTTTCTGTTGCCAGGGGAAGAATACTAGGACCCTGTTGAGTAACCACCTTCACAGTTGTTACCATGTCGGCCTGTACCACATTCTGAAATGGTTCACTGACCATAGATAACCATGCCAGTCAGTCAATTAAGTATGTAGCAAGTGCCTACTGTGTACCAGGCAATGTGCAAAACACTGGGGATTCAATGAAAGGCAAAAGACAGTCCCTTGCTCTCAAAAAATTTACAGTCCACTGGGGAGACAACACGCAAAGAAGATACATGTACAAACAAGATACCTATGGGCTAAATTAGAGATAATATACAGAGGGAAGGCAGTAGCACTAAGGGAGACTGGAAAAGACTTCTTGTGGAAGGTAGGATTTTAGCTGTGACTTAAAGGAAGCCAAGGAAGTCAGGAGATGAAGATAAGAAGAAAGGGAGTTACAGATATAGGAGACAGTAAGTGAAAATGTCTGGAATCAGGAAGAGTATCCTGTGCAAGTAAAGGTGAAGAGGCCAGTGTCACTGGATTGAAAATTGGGGGGGGGGGGGGGGGGGGGGGGTTACAGGGGGGGGGGGGGGAAAAAATTGGGGGGGGGGGGAGGGGCGGAGGGATTAAGGAGTGTGAGGGACAAAAAGACTGGAAAGGTAGGAAGGGAGCAGGTTATGGGAAGACTTTATATTTGATATTGGAAGAAACAGGTAGCCACTGGAATTGACTAAATGGGGGGGGGGGTGACATGGTCAAATCTATGCTTTAGGATCAATCTGACAACTGAGTGGATGGACTGGAATGGGGAAAGACTTAAGGCAGGGAAGCCAACCAGCAGGATATTGGAAGAGTCCAGGCAAGAGGTGATAAGGGTCTGGACTAGGCTGTGTCAGAGGAAAGAAGGGAGTGTACAGAAACGGGGTCATGAAGGTAGAAACAGGACTTGGCAAATAATTGTATGGGGGAGGGAGTAAAAAAGAATGAGTCAAAGATGACACCTAGGTTGCAGGCTTGGGTGACGGGGAGGATGATGGTACTCTCCACAGTAACATGGAAGTTAGGAAGAGGGAATGTTTTGGAAATTGATTTTAAGATGTCTATAAGACATTCAGTTCAAAACGTCCAACACACAGAGGAATGTAAGACTGGAAGACAGGAGAGAGGTTAGGGCTGGACAAATTAATCTGAGAATCATCTGCATCAAGATGACAGTTGAATTCATGGGAGCTGCTGGGATCGCCAATACCTGGCCAGATGATATGAGTTTAAACTGTAAATAAATACTGCCATCTACAGGATCTTGCTAGGTAGCAGAATCAGTTCCTGGAAAGAGTTTCCTTATCTTTACCACAGGGTACTGAATCCTGCTCTCCCATCACCCTAATCCTAGCCCACATCCACTCCTCACCTGTGCCAAGTTTTGCAAAAACTTGCATGGACTCATCGAAACGTTTCTGACAGAAGAGGTTAAAAGCAAACAGGTTCTTAATGTGATGGATCTGCTGGCACTTCTCACTGTCAGAATCATCTTTCATTTCCTAACAGGAAGAAAGCAAAAATAAGGCTCGATGATCTTGGTCTCATTTAAAAAATAAACAATCAAAAAACACAACCAGACAAGGAAATGTCCTGGGTAATACAATAGTAATGAAAAATAAACTTAGTAAGGGGCCAAACATTTAACTTTCCCTTTGTCCAGGCAGGTCACTGCACCCAGGACATCAAGAAAATGGAACTGAGAAACCCACTGATTTGGGCTCCACCATGAATTCCTTTCTGTTTTCACCTCAACAGATGAAATATAGCTATCCTCTCATCTTCTCTTCTAGTCTCAGAGGAAGAGGTTTCTGTTCTCCTAAAACTAACATCTCACCCTCTAGCCTGGATCTCATCCCTGCCCTCCTTCTTTTCTTCCTCCTCCTCCAGGATCCTGTTCCCACATCTCTCTGTGCTTCCTTTCCCCCACAGGGTCCTTCCCTAGACCTTGAAACATGCTCTCTTAGTCATCTCCAAAAACATAGTTCCTTTGACTCTCCTACATGCTTTCATCAATATCTCTCCTTCCTTTCCCTGATGAACTATTGAAATGCTTTTAAGAATCACAGTCTCCACTTCCCATTGCAATCTGAATTCTACCTCCATCATTCAAATGAAGCTTTGTTTGACTCCTTTCTTGCCAAATCCAATGGCCCTTTTCTTCATTCCTATCTTCTGAACTCTTTTTACAAGATCAATTTTAAAACTGGAAGAGATCTTGGAAGGTCATCAGGTCCAATTCCCTCACTGTACAGATAAGGAAACTGAGGCATAGAGAGTGATGCGATGAAAGTCACATAGCTAGCAGGTGTCTGAGACAGCATTAGAACAGGCCTTCCTGTCTACAAGGCTCTGTTCACAACACCATCTGGCCTCTCAATATACTCGAGACTTAACTAGCCTTTGACTATCCTGCCTCCTGGTTGCCTTCTCTTTCCACTCCTAACCGCACATTCTTCCCTAAGGATCTGTCTTTGGCTTTCTGCTTTTTTCTTTCATGCTCCCTGTACTGGTCAGTTCATTCACTGACATGTCTTCAGTTACTACCTCTATGCCAATGGTTCTCAAATCCACACCTTCAGCCCAGACCACACTCCAGTTCTCTATTTCCAACGGAACATGGAAATCCCTCGAAGAGAGAGATAGACAGACAGAGAGACAGAGAGAGGGAACACTCCTGGTTCTCCTCCCGCCTTTCTAAGCACTCTTCCACTTCCTTCAATGGCTCTTCATCCTCTTCCTAGTCACTTACTGTGGGTGTCCCAGAAGAGGGTGTGCTTGGCAGGGTCCTTTCTCTACCCTCCCTCCCAACAATCTCACTCCGGCTCAGGACTTCCATTCCCACTTCTACACAGTTGACTCCCACGTTTCTATTTCAGGGCCCAACCTTCCTTCTGAGCTCCAGCCCTATACCTCCAGCAGCCTAGGGAGTATCTCCACGTGGAAGCCCCTACAGGTCCTTCAAATATCCAAACTCACCTTTCCCCAGCCTATAATATCTTGTTCTTTCTTCTCACTTCACCATTTTTGTCTCTAACACCGCCACTGATTTGGTCTCTCCTCCATGCACTCTGTCTTACAGCTAAAATCCTACTGAAGACATTCTAATACTCATAAGCCTCTGCTTTTGCCCAGGCTGATTCCTATGTCTGAAATGCCCTCCCTCCTCCTATTCCCTGAATGAACTCCCATCTCTCCTTAAAGCCCAAATCAAACTCCATTTCCTTCAATCCTCTGATCCCCTCAGTTGACGACAACCTTACTTAAGACCTCACATGACATTTTTTTAAAATCTCTAAAGCCATTATCATATATTATAGCTATATGTGTTGGTATATTATCCCCCCACTAGACCATACATACCTTATCTCAACTCCAGCTTTTCCCCAACACCTAATACAATGCTCAGCACACAGAAGGGACATAATACAAGTTGACTGCATTTGCATTTTGTAAAGGAGTGAGTCAACATATTAAAAAACTGAATTTATCTTCCACCCTTCATATCATTTCCCTTCATTTTTCCAGACCTCAGTTTCTTCATCTGCAAAAGGAGGGGGATGGATCTGATGACTTTGAAGGTCCCTTCCATCTCTGGATCTGTGAGTTTATGAATGTGTGTGCCAACCAAGAAAAACATGCTTTGGCTTCCTAGTTACCTGCTCTAAGGGAAACTAAGGAATTGAGGAAGAGAAATAAAATTTACCGCCAACTGCAGGGCCAGTTCAAACTGCTTGTCCTGAAGAAGTTGCTGGATTTGGGTTGCTATAGAGACAGGGATGAGCCGCCAGACGAAATGATTGCTGGCCACATAGACGATGTCTGAACTGGAGGGAGGAGCAAAAGCCATGAACAGAGAAGCAAAGGATGAATGACATGGCCTTTAGGTGCTATGAAAGCTCTGGAGGATAAAGTAGGTGGCAAGTCCTCACCCTCCTGAGGTAATGAAGCGGGGTCTCTGTAACTCAATGCTCTGCACCAGCAGGCGGGGCTCAAATGTCCGAATCTCCACATACCGAGGCAACACCGCGATGATATATGGAGGCTGGTGCTCTATGAAGGGGAGACATGACCTCACATGAGAAATAACTCTGGTCTGAAGAAAAGGACGAGGGTTGAGATGGAGGTTTCCATGCATGGCCATCATCTGGGATAAACACTTCACTCAAGTAGTCTGGCTGACTACTTCTCTTTGATTGTTGTCCAGTTCAGGGGAAGGACAACGCTAGATGAATTTACAGGCAGTGACCTCACCCAACTCTAGCTATTTCCACTCAAAGAATTAACAGAACCCCAGCCCCCAGAAGTATCACTCACTCCTCTTTCCTACTGGCTGCTGAAGAGATAAGCAAGGAGAATGTGGTGAGATCAGCATAAGCTACAGGCATCCTCTCACAACCACTGGGGGTGGGGTCAGGATTACTTCCTTTAATCTGGGGTTACTTACAGAGGCCAAGGGGAGCAAACTACAGAGCACCGCCTCAAAGGGCTGTTCAACATAAAAAAATCTCACCCAGAACAAAATAAACAGCACAGACCTTAACTGACACTGTGTTTTTAAGGAGGATTTTTCTTGTAAAGGTCTAGTCCCTTGGTCACCTCTTTCTTGCCTTTCTTTCCAAGCTCTGCAACTCCAAATTCAATGCTCTTGTCACTATCCCCCTTCAGCCTCTGCAGTGTGGCTTGACTATAGGTTTTTCTTACCTGAAGATAGCATTATTGGTAAAGTGGGTTTATTGTTATTTGGTCTCTGGAACCGTTCAAACTATACTAGAGAATTTCACAGCCTTCCTACAAGACAATTCTCTCTTCAAGCTGCTTAAAAACATACCTGCCTCAGTTTTCAGAGGAAGAAACTAAAGCTATCTATAGTCATATGAAAAAATGGTCTAAATCACTATTGATTAAAGAAATGCAAATCAAAAAACTCTAAGGTACCACATCACACCTATGAGGTTGGCTAACATGACAAAACAGGAAAATGATAAATGTTGGAGAAGATGTGGGAAAATTGGCACATTAATGCATTGTTATTGGAGTTGTGAACTGACCCAACCATTTTGGAGAGCAATTTGGAACTATGCCCAAAGGGCTATAAAAATATGCATACCCTTTGACCTATCAATAGCACTTCTAGGGCTGTATCTCAGAGAGATCATAAAAATAGGAAAAGGACCCACATGTACAAAAATATTTATAGAGGCTCTTTCTATGGTGGCAAAGAATTGGAAATTGAGGGGATGCCCATCAATTGTGGAATGGCTGAACAAGTTGTGGTATATGAATGTAATGGAATACTATTGTGCTATAAGAAATGATGACCAGGCAGAGTTCAGAAAAACCAGAAAAGACTTGTATGGACTGATGCTGAGTGAAGTGAGCAGAAACAGGAGAACGTTGTACACAGTTAACAGTCATGTTGTATGATGACTAACTCTGATAGACTTAGCTCTTCTCAGCAATGCAAGGATCTAAGACATCTCCAAAAGTCTCATGATGGAAAATGCTATCCACATCCAGAGAAAGAACTATGGAGTTTGAATGCAGATCGAAGCATACTATTTGCTCTTTTCTTTTCTTCTGTTTTGTTTTGTTTTTTCTTTCTTGTGGTTTCTCCTATTGGTTCTAATTCTTCTTTACAACATGACTAATGTGAAAATATGTTTCATAGGAATGTATACACAGAGCTTATATCAAATTGCACGCTATCTTGGGGAGAGATGTAGGGAAAGAAAGGAAGAAAATTTAAAACTCAAAAGCTTACAGAAATGAATGTTGAAAACTAAAAATAAATTAATTAATTTTTAAAAAATAAAATTTAAAAAAAATTTTTAAAAATTAAAATAAAAACCCATGCCTGTCTCTATCTTTCAAGGCTTTCCATTAAGTAGATCTATTTGACCTATCTGATTTTGGCACAGTAGAAAGAGCACTGGGCCTGGAGTCCAGAAGGCCTGAGTTCAAATCCAGCCTCAAACACTTACTAGCTGTTTGACTGTAGGCAAATCACTTAATCCTGTTTGCCTCGGTATCCTTATCCGTAAAATGAGCTGGAAAAGAAAACGGCAAACCATTCTAGTATCTTTGCCAAGAAAACCCCAAATGGGGTCACGAAGAGTCAGACACAGTTGAAAATGACATACCAATAACAGCAACAACCCCAATATAGACCTTCTGCTCTGGCTAGGCCAATATAAGGAGCTCACTATCTTCATGCACCCTGTGTCATTTCCAATCTTCTTGCCTTTGCTCATGTTCTTTCTCCTGCCTAGAACACCTTTCCCCCGCCAGTGGATTAGAGTGGTCTCACCTGAAGGCAAGATACCTAGATGGCCCCAGACCATACCTCACCTTCATCCCACCCCAAACATTCTGGGAAATCTTGCCATTTAGCTGACCACTGTACACATAACCCACTCCCTCTTTACATCACTTGCTCTAGGAATAGTAATCAAATTAATACTATATCTTCTTCTGAAAAGGGTGACAACAGATGGCCCTTTGGGATCAGCTCATCTTTTGTCTCCTCGGGGCACAAACTCCCTTTGTCTGGCCACCACTCCCCTGCGTGTGTAGTTAACACTCCCCTGCGTGTGTAGTCTTTCCTATTAGAACACAGGCTGTCCATTTCTGGAGTCCACCTCAAGTCTCATCTCCACAAAACTTTTTTTGACCGTCTATTCACAACTATCTTTCCCTTGACTGAATTTTGGACTACCTAATTCAGTCCTTGACTCTACACAGCTTTGCGGCATTTTTCTGGTTGCTGCATGTAACAAAGCTTTGTCTCTCCCCAGGTAAACTATGAACTTCTCAAAGGAAATGGGCATACTTCTCAATTCCTTACAAATAGTCATAAGTTCCATAAATTCTACTGCTTCTTAATGAAAATGAATCACATACAACGATGTGATACTTCTGATGCTTCTGATGATACCATCAGGTCTGACAGACTAGATCAGAGGCAGGAAAAGAAAAGAAAAGTTTCAATTAACAGACATCTATGAAGTTCTTTGAGTGTTTTTTTAACAGTCTAGAGGACCCAAGCTCATTACCTTAGTGGCACTTACTATTTCATGAACAAGTAGCTTATTTAATTTCCAAACATCTGACTACAATCACAACAAAGTCCATTAACAAGGAGATGAAGGACAAAGAACTAGAAATATTAATAAATCACTTCCTAAAAAATGTTACCCAGCTTGTATAATTTGATAGAGTAAAATAAGCAAGATCAGAAGAAGAAAACACACAATGACTGCAATCATGTAAACAAAGGCAAAATACATTGTGACCATAAAAATGGAAAAGCAGCCAAACCAAGATTAATTACAGAATCTAAACTTGAAACATAACCTGCCCCTACCTTTAATAAGAGGTGGGCAACTACATCAGCAGAATGCTGTAAACTGTCAGATGCAGCTGTTTTATTCAGTTATGCTTCAATGTTTCTTTGTTAAAGGGAAGGGTGAACAGGAAGGGAGGGCAGGAAGTGGGAAATGCTTGTAGTATAAAAGCCAATGGGCATTAGCAAAATTTAAATAGACATTATGGATGGACATATATACAAAGTGGGGGAGGTATATTTGAATGTGCCTATGGCTAGACAAGGATGTCTAGGGTGGATGAATAGGAACCATGGCCTGGGGCCAGCTAGACGTAGTTTGCTCTTACTCACTGGCCAAGGAAGGGTACTGTAGCAAGGAGAAAGAGCATGAGCAAAGGCAAGAAAATGGAAAACAACACGGGGTGCGTGAAGACAGTGACAACTACACGTACCTATCTAATATGGTCATTTGGACTTTCCACTTCCCAAACTCCTTCATTTTAGAAAAATACAGCTTCTAACAAACACTGGAATACTCAGTTGTTAATGACTCTAAAACACTCAATTGCTTGTAATAAGGGAAATGTGGTGGGTGATAAAAAACACACCACACACCTGAAGTTAATGATTCAGACTACACTCATTAGAGAGTCAAGATGACAATGGGGGTGGGGGGAAGGGCCTGGGAAGGGAACAGCTACTGCTGGTTCTCACCCATGGAGATTGGTATATCTGTCCAATTCAGGGCACATTTCTGTGTACAGTTGCCCTCCTCATTCAGGACCACGGTGAGATCGTCCTGACCAACAGCTACTTTTCCATCTGCCAGAGGTGCCACCAAGGGCTCCAGTTGTTTCCCTGTTGGAAAGAGTTCTTTGGTGGACCCTTTTCCATCCACCTACAAAAATAAAACAAGAAGTAAGTTCAGTACCCCAAATGTGACCCTGTTAGCTAGAATACTCTTGCTCAAAAACAGACAACCTAAGAATTAGAAAACTCTTAATACTGCTTTAGACTCTAAATACTATATAGAAGGATCACTCTTCCTCTTCTTCAACAAGAGAGTAATAACTTTTTTGAGAGAGAAAAAGAATTATCAACCCTCATACTTTTAAAATACACATGTCCTCTTATGAGGAGGGCTTCAAAACATTCAGCCCCTGGGCTACAAGCCCAGGAATTGGATCCAGAGTAGCAGGAAAATGGGAGTCCCAAAACAACTCAAGTCTACAAGCATTTCTTAATTGCCTACTAGTATGCCAGGCACTGTGCTAAGCACCGTGAATACAAAGAAAGGCAAAAAACAAACAAGAAACCAGTCTCTGTTTTCCAGCTCACAATCTAATGATGGCCAACAACACACTACATACATCAAACAAATCTATACATGAGCTAAGTAAGTGATAAGTTCACATACGGTATATAGTCAAATCTGTGAAGAGCAAGTCTCAAGATCTATGTTTGAGTGGAGGAGGTGAGAGGGAGGAGAAATTTAAGTTGCGATTTTGAATGTCGTAAGACCAGCGGTCTTTTTAAAAATAGAGTCAACACACAAGTATAACCTACATTGAATTGATTGCCTTCTCAATGAGGTAGGGTGGGAAGGGAGGAAGGGAGAAAATTTGGAAATCAGAGTTTTAAAAATGAATGTTAAAAATTGTTTTTACATATAACTGAGGAAAAATAAAGTACTAAATTAAAAAAGAAAAAATAAATAATTAAATGGGGGAAAAAACAGAGTAAACTCTCAATTATCTGCATTGCTGGACATGACGGAATGTTTGGGTAAGCCAAGAATTATTTCTGAGCAGGCCCTGAGGCAGAGATGTTGATGTTAATCAACCACAGCCCCACCCTTTATTACCAATGAGGTCTCAGACTAGAGCCTCATGTGATCCAGGCCCTTAACAGAGCCTAGTGAGTTGCAGGAATTGTGCCATTCAGCTAGTGACTATCCATGCACATACTCCATTCCCCTCCCGCCCAGACCTCCTTCTGCCCTTTATTCAGGAAATGATAATCAAAACAACATTACCATCAATATATGAAAGGACAATCTACTGCCCATAGTTCCTCAGGATTCCTGTGATTCAAGGCTGTAGGCTGCCTAGGTAGAAGCTCCCTTCCCTGATGACAACTCTTCAGTTTCCCTAGATGGATATCTCTGTTCCATTATGCTCCCTTTCCTTTGCACCCTCCGGAAATTCCTCTTCCATTAAGCCTCTTCCTTTTGGGCTCTTTCCTTCTCTCCTTGCAATCATGGAAACTTTCCAGAGGAGCTGCACCCCTGACTGCTCTCTATGACTGGATGTATCTTCTTTCCTCAAAATTCCCTCTCCATCACCCAAACCTTGCCACCAGGCCAGAAGGAGGAGGCATGCTTCTTCTTCAACAGGCCCTCCCTTACCACTATCACTGAACAACCCCTCCTCCACTTAGGTTCATTCCTTCATACTATCACAGATTTAGAGAAGGAAGGGACCTAAGAAGTCATCTAACAATAACAACAATAATAATAATGGCTAGCATTTATACAGCACTTACTATATGCCAGGCACTGTGCTAAGCACATTACAATTATTATTCAATTCCCTCATTTTGCAGAGGATATATCACCTTTTCCAGATCCTGTGGCCCCCAGATTATTCTCTGTTCTTTCTCAAGGAGCTCAGAATCTGGCTCACAATCCTCCTTTCTACTCCAACCCCTGCTTTATCTCCTTTTACTCCCTTCCCATATACTCTAGAGCAGGGAGGTTTAATTTTTTTGTGAGTCATGGATTCCTTTGTGAGTCTGGTGAAGCCTACAGTTTCCTTCTTAGAATAATGTTCTGAAGTACATAAACCAAAATGCATAGGTACAAAGGTAACCAACCACATTGAAATATAATTATCAAAATATTTTAAAAAGCAAGTTCATAGAACCTAGGTTAAGAACCTCTGCTCTCTAGTCTAGCCTAAGTGGACTACCCTCTGAACCACCCTAATACATTCTGAGTATGTAATACACACATACACACATACATCTCTCTATTTTTGTTCACACTGTTCATAATGCTCAGAATGGCCTCCCTTCACCTCTTTGCTTGATGAATTCTCACCTAGCCTTTAAAGCCCAGTGCAAATAAAAGCAACCTCATTCACGGAGTCTTCCCCGATGCTCTTTGTTAATGACATTCCTCCTGGACTTCACAATGCACTTTATACTTCTCTAATTAACAAAGTATTTATGTTTGCATCATATCCCGCTACAACTGAAAGTAAGTCTAAATCCAATGAAGGAAGGGATGGTGTCTCTTCTAAACTTTTTCCCCTAGCGCCTGTCAAAGTGATTTGTACAGAGCTGGTGATTAATAAGTATTTGTGGAATTTAACTGTGCTGGAGAGTTGCATTTACTATGTGGAAGTCTCTCCCACTCTGTCTGTGGATCTTTGCAAAAACAACACACTGCTCCAATTGTGTTCTGCTGTGTCAAGTTGAGGACTTACCCTTATTAGATAGTAGTCTCTCTTGAAACCCACACAAATGGAATTTTTACACCATGCCATGGACTTGGGCACATCTGGTACACTAAAGTCCCCCTGAAGAAAGAGGGAGTCAATTCATCTGGGAAAAATGTTAAGAATCAAAAATCATGATCTGTTATCCCTATCCCCATTCTGAAAAAAACAGGGCAGAGCACAGTACTAAAAATGCCCCCTTAAAGGTAGCTTCCTACCATATACTGAACAACAGATATCTGGCGTGAGATAAATACCCACTGGCTTAACAAAGAATCTAAATGACTGAATTTGGCACTGACTGAATTTGTATCACATCTCTCTTTTAAAAGCGAGAACACTGGAGAAATGAGTAGCAGAATTATTATTTAGGGAGCGTTTTTCTTTTTTTTAAACAGGAGCTGTGATTTCATCAGTGTAAAGAGCTCTCTATACTGAGGAACTTAATTATCAATGCAGTTCATCACCTGGGCCACAGAAAGATTAAGAAACTAGACCAGGAGCATACAGTGAGTATATTGCCCGGTCTTCCTGATTCCAAGGTTAGCTTTCTATTCACTAGGTTATGCTGCCTCTGTTAGGGAGAATTAGAACACTGAAATCCTGGATTTTTGCTACCAGCCAATTGGGAGACGTTCAGAGTGAATACCAACTTTAGCAGGGGCTCATGTCCTGACTGACAACTGAACTTACCTGCAATTCATAAAACTCTCTGTCCTTCCAGAAATACAGCTGGAGTTTCTTCTTCACAGCCACACACATCCGCAGCACCTCTTCACCTGTTTCAGTGTGCTGATAAGAGAATCAAAAGCATTGGCAGCATAGCAGGACAAATAGAGAAAATCATACTGTTATGCCACAGAACTCCCAATTAGCTCACAGCTAAGATACAGTTAAAAATTAATACTCCATTTATGCTGCAAATGAGTTAATTTAAGACAGTCTCAGTGATTCTCTTATAAAATTCATGTTACCAGAGGAGCCCAGCAGAATGCTGCTCATGCTCAAAATGTATCCAGAAACAGTGAGTGGGGAAAGACCAACATCTTGCTCATCTTTTCTCCAGGCTGCCACTGAAGGCACCAACACAAACAGGAGCTACAGATTTAACAAATGTTCTATTCAACAATACAAGGCTCTGGGTAAATTGTATTTCCTTTTCTTTCTGATGTCTCTCTCACGTACCTAAACATATTACTCTTAACATAACCCAGATTGGAGGTCAGCAATCTGTAGCAAATGTGCCCCAAACAACTTACAGGCTAATTTTCACAGTAGCTAGTTGCTGTCACCATGTTCCCTGGCCCTCTTCTCTCCTTGTGGTCCCCTCCCCCATCATCCAGTTCCAGTTTCCAAAAGTCAGCACAAAGTCAGGCTCTTCCATTTCCCACCGGATGAGCTCATAAGAGATGGAAGCTGACAAGCACTCAATTCCCCTCCTTTCTATCAAGTCAGTGACTGGCCAGACAACCTGTCACCATCTTGGAACACACCAGAAGGAAAGAGACCAAAACCTTTCCAGGACAAACCACTTAGGATTACTAACCTATTACCTAGATGAGTCTTAACAAACTATGTGTTGTGACCCTTCCAACTTGTGACACTAAAATCATATGCTATCCATCCATCTATCTATATTATGTATACATACACATAATAAACACATATATACATATGTATATGTACACACACACAGAGAAAGATGTCATTTAGAAAAAACACTTGTTCACCCTATTCTTTCTTCCTTGGTGCTGATTTATCTCCCTCATCTCTTTTCAAACCTGGCCCTAAATCCACCTCCCACAGGGAGCCTTTCTTGACTTATTCTACTCAAGTCTGATCCATGCTATAATTTTTGTCTTCTCCATATTATATTCCCAGTTGGTGCAATATTATTTATTTTTGCTGATAATTTGTTATTGTTATTACACACACACCACGCACACTCAACATTTTACTAGTCCCTCAAAAAAAATCTATCTTGTGCAAGCAATGAACTCAGTACTAAGAAGGAACACAAAGAAATAAAAAATATGATCTTTTCTCATAAGAAATAAATGATTTAGTTGAGAAGACCAGAACATACCAACATGAAATGAATCAAGAACAACAATAAGCAACACATTAGCACATACATGTAAAGTATAGGACCAGCTGGATACATAAATGTCAAACGGATAAAAATGAGAGAAGGGGTAAGACCTGAGTAGAATACATAAAGAAAGGCTCCCTACAGAAGAAAGTGGCTTTGGAGCCAGATCTGAAAGGAGATGAGGTAGAGAAACTGGCAGAAAGGGAGAAAGAACATTGTGAACATACCTGTCTTTTCTAAATGAAATCACAGGCTCTCTGAGGACATATTTCGTGTACCTCATGGCTCAAGGTTGACTATGGAAGTTGATTTAATGCTCCGTTAATATGGTAACAATATAGTCAGTAGGAATTCTCTATGGCAAAACTTTAATCCTAGGCTGGTACACCATAATTCACACCACTTTACACCTGGGTTCTTGAAGGTCATGTCAGTGGAGCAAAATCTGGTTCAGCCATATTGGAAAAGCTTTAGTGACAGACTAAATCTGCTTTCTAAGGACTAGCTTAGCAAAGTACAATGAGGCTTATCATCAGGAGGTTGACCTAGTGGTGAATTCTTTGGCTATGGTCACCCATCACAAAGAATGAAAAACCTTGGATAAGTTATCATCTGTGCCAACGGAGAGGATACCCCAACAATGATGAAAAATTCACTGAAGTATTTAAGCAGGGGAGAGAGATAGGTAATACCAGGGGTGTGGAACCTGTGGCCTCAAGGCCACATGTGACCCTCTAGGTCCTCAAATGCAGCCCTTTGACTTAATCCAAACTTCACAGAACAAATCCCCTTAATAAAAGGATTTGTTCTGTAAAACTTGTATGCAGTTAAAATGCCACACTCAAGGACCTAGAAGGTTGCATGTGGCCTCAAGGTCACAGGTGCCCCACCCCTGTACTAGACTGTAATTTTACTGGTACAGGGAAGTCCCAGGTGAGGTGACTACCTCTATTAATGCAGACTGACCCCTCACTGCAACTTATAGTTTTAGTGGCCTAGAGCACTGAGAGGTTAATGACTTGCCTGAGATGACACAAGTATGTATCAGAGGCAGGATCTGAACCCAGGTCTTCCATATTCTAAAAACAGCTCTCTATCTACTCTGTCAAAGTGCCTCTCACATAAATACTTAAGCAGTGGTCCAAATACAGACCATATTTTTCCCCAAATCTGCCTTGTATAAAACCAGAGTTCGGTTTATAACTGCATTCTTAACATAGAGGACAACAAAAGTGATGAAGAAAGAAACAGTTCTGATAAAGATGAATATTTAATGTTTGACTAGAAGATAAAGTTTTACAGTAAAATTTTGATATAGTAATTTTGTACAATTACTTGTCAAAATGTCCTTCTGTATTTTCTTTCCTTTTAAAAAAAGGTCATTTTAGAACCATAGCTTATTTGGAGGTTGGCCTATATTCAAACCAAAACAAATATTATTTTTCAATTCTGCCATTCTGGAAAACCCAGGCCATTAACCTACTCCATTAAGTAAGAAACAGCTAAAGAACAATGAATTATCTTGCCTGTACTTACCTGGAGGTCACAGGTAAACAGAGATGCCCCCTTTGCCTTTGAAACAGTAGTGATTTGTTGAAATGTCAACAAGTCGTGAACGTAAATGTTATTTTCTGTTTTAAGAGAGACATATAATTATTTTTCAATCATTTAATGGAGGAAGAGAAGGGAAATGAAATAGGAAGCCTTAGATCACACCTCAGAGCAAATCTTTACAAATGTCGGTCACAGATGAATATATCAACAAAACTAAAAAATAAACGTATTGCCTTTAGAGTAGGGGTTCTTTTGTGTCCAGGGCCCCTTTGGCAATCTGGTGAATCCTATGGACCCCATCTAAGAATGTTTTTAAATGCATAAAATAAAATACATACAATCACAACAGACACCAACTATACTAAAATGCAATTGTTAAAAACAAACCAAAAAAACAATTTCACAGACCCCAGATTAAGAACCCCTTGCCTAAAAGCAACAAAATTAAAAATTAATTTCAGCTTCAGACAAAGATGACTGATTCACTTTTATGTACCAACAAAAAAAAATATTCAGGAAGTCACTGACTCAGACTTCTGAACTTAGCTTTTCCTCAATTTATTCAACTTTTATTACATACCTCCTACATTCAGAGCACTGTGTTAGGTGGTAGGAGGAGTACAATGGCGAAAAATGCAAGGTCCCTGACCAGATGGAACTTTCTAGTCTCCTGGGGTGTTGAGGCGGGAGAGAGGACACAGACACAAGTCAGTATAACACAAAGCAGGAAGTGACTGGTACAAAGCAAAGATCCAGACAGTGTGCTCAAGGAAAGAGAACTTCAGCGGCCTTGTGGGGATGAGTAATCAGGGAAGGCTTCAAGAAGGAAGTGCCAACTGATCTGAGCATAGAAGAGAAGGATTTTAGTAGAGAGAGAGGAACAGGAAATGTGTTCCAAGCCTACATGACTGCATGGAGGTGAGAGACCACAGGACAGAAGTGGGGCACAACTAGGAGTCCAATTACACTAAATGAAGAGTGAATGAAAAGGTGTAGTATGAAATAAGGCTGGAAAAGGAACAGAGGCCAACTGGTGGAGGGCCTTAAATCTACTCCCTTGGGGGTAGCTGACTTTAAAGTATTCTTTTGCTCTCTTTTCCAAAGTAGGGAAACTAAGAGATACAAAAGGTGAGCCTCGAAAGGGTAACATGGAGGGCCCCAAACAAGCAAGGAAAGTCACTGCGTTTTATCCCAACCCAAAGTCAAAGGCTCCTTTTTGTCAGGGAAATTATTTACACACACACACATATACACACACACACACAATGTTCATGTCCTTAGTGCCTCTAGGGTGCTTTAATAAAATATATTCTACTTGAGGCTATTCCTGAAACTGCTTAAAGCCTTCAGTGGCCTAGTTCCTTGGACATGTGGTCACAGAAGCCAGTGAGCTTGACTTTTATTCCAGGGATAATTCTCGAATGCATCACAAACAAAATGATGGGTAACCATTTAGAAAGGGAAGAGATGATTACCAAGAGTCAAGAGGGCTTCATCAAAAACAGGTTATGCCAGACTAATCTCATTTCCTTTTTTGGACAGGATTAATGAACTAGCAGATGTTGTGGAAACAGTTTACCTTGATCTTAACGTAATTTTTTATAAAAGTACTCACACGATCTTTGTAGAGATGATGGAGAGATATGAATTAGATCAAACATCAATCAAATGGATTCAGACTAATTGGATGGCCAAACTCAAAGACTAACTTGTTAATGGCTCAATATCAGCAAGAGAACTCCAGTGGAGAAGCCCAGGGATCTGTCTTAGGCCCTGTGCTGTATAACACTTTAATCAATGACTCTAAAGATAGTATACTCATCAAATTTGCAGCCCTGGAAAGAATAGCTAACACAGCAGATAAGAATCAGTATTCAAAAAGACCTTGAAAAGCTAGTGCACTGGATTAGATCTAAATTCAATAGGGATAAACATAAAGTGTCGCACTTGGGTTTAAGAAATCCACTTTGTAATTATATGACTAGAGAGACATGGATAGACAACAGCTATTCTGAAAAAGATGTTGGGATTTAGTGGGCTACAAACTCAATTAGAAGTCAGCAACGAGATGTAGCAGCCAAAAAAACTAATGAGACCTTGGGCTGCACTAAGAAGAGCAGTTTTCAGGAATGGGGAAGTGACTGTCCCACCGTACTCTGACCTTGTTAGACCTCATCTAGAATACTGTGTCCAGTCTGGGGTAGCTAAGGAGTGTCCAGAGCAGGGTAATTAAGATGGCAAAGAGTCTTGAATTCATTTCATATGATGACCAGCTGAGGGAAGTGAGCACGTTTAACTTGGAGAAGACTGGGCTAAACCTGATATTGGTCTTCAGCTATTTCAAGGTCTATCATGTGGAAAAGGAACCAAATTTGTTTCATCTGGCCCCAGAGGGCAGAACCAGGAGCAAAGGGGAAAAGCTGAAGAGAGGAAAATTTAGGCTCGCTGTCGGGAAAATGTTCCTAACAATTAGAGCTGGCCAAAAGTGGAATGGTCTCCCAAGAGACAAGGGTGGGGGTCCTCTGATCCTTTGCAAGTCTTCAGGCAGAAACCTCTTGTTGGGGATGTTATAATGATGATACTTTTCACGTATGGATTTGACGAGAAGGCCCCTGAAGTCCCTTCCAACTCTCAAATTCTTTGATTTTATGAAATCTATACTTCAAAAGGTAAACTGAGAGAAAGCTAAGATGGTAAGAAAATAAAGTGGAGAGAAACGGAGAAGAGAGTGGGAGATGTAGAAATGAAGGCAACAAGCACAGATAAACCCATCTATGAGTTTGGCTGTAAGAGGAGAAAAGCTATAGAACATCAACCCGAAGAGACAGCAGGGCAAGTAAAGGTTATTTAAGGCTAGGGGAGACTGGAGTTCCAGTTGGTAGGAAAATAACCAACAGATAAGAGGAGACTGAAGAAAGGGAGGCCATGCTCAAGGAGATAGGAAGGGATGCAACCAGAGATCGAAGTAAAGGAAAAGAAAGTGAGGGATAATTTTTAAAAAGAGTTGAGAGGGGCAGCTAGGTGGCGCAGTGGGGAGAGCACCAGCCCTGGAGTCAGGAGCACCTGAGTTCAAATCCAGGCCTCAGACATTTAACACTAAGTAGCTGTGTGACCCTGGGCAAGTCACTTAACCCCACTGCCTAGCCAAAAGAAAAAAAAAAAAAAAAAACAAATAAATAAATAAATAATAAACTAAAAAAGTGTTGAGGTGTGAGGTAGGGTAGAAGAAGGAGCTCAAGATGGATGTCCTATTTTTTTCAGCAAAGTAGGAGGGAAAAAAGTTCTTTGCTGAGAGGCAGGGTGGAGGAGGTTGCATAGAGGGTTTGAGGAAAGAGGAGAAGGTTTGGAATAATCACTGTGAAGAGTCAATTAAGGACTCCATTATGGGAGAGTCAATTAAGGAAAACTAAAAGATTGCCATGTAATAGTGAGAGTCCAGTTGAGATGAAATAAATCTGTAGTAAATCTAATCAGCATGGCTGCATGACTTCCTCTAGCAGCATACAGCATCATGTGAGTATTCTAGGCTTGGAGTCTAGCTCAGCACAACTGGTGACTGGGTAAGAGGACAAGGGAGTCAAAGGGATCCCACATTTAATAGCTGACTGATTGCCCAAACATTCCAGACTATGAGAGTAAAGCCAGAGAAAGGGTGACAGATTAGCATCATTATCAGAACAGGCCCTCTACTGACCCCAACAACTAGAGGCCAGAACCTGAGTAGGATGTGAGATCCTTTAGAACTGGCTCTCTACAGTATCCTACCTCCAACTAAGTAAGAGTTAACCACATTGCAACATGACACATGACATAACAGAAAGCCCCAAAACACAAGAGAATCCTTTCTTCACTTACCTAACAAACTGACCAGAATCTTAAACTGGGAAACCACGTGAATCTGAAAGAAAAAAAAGCAAATCACTTAACTCAAACAAATATGTTGAAAACGAGCCCACCCTTGTTCATTTGACTACAATACTGACAAAGGATTCACAGTGCTTCTTAAAGTTATGGGGATAATCTGTAGATTTTTTTCTATGTGACCACAACTTCTTATGAAAGAGGACCTCACTCTGTGGAGCTGTGTGCCCAGAGGGTTTCCCCATCATGGGGAGAAATGGAAAGGACTGAAGCAGTTGACAGATATTACCATTAAAGGGAACACTGGCACAGACATGGACCCCCACCTCCTTACAAGCTCTAGCCATCATTGCTGCCTTGGTTGCCCACCTGCTGAATCTTTTTGGAGAAGTTCTTGTTGGATTTTTCTAGAGTTACTTCGAATCTGTTGCAACCTATGAAAAAGAAATAATTGCATACAGTTCTAATGAAGGAATATATTAGCCAATCCCCTTGCCCCCAAAACACAAACCAAAAACTCTATAAACTTCTTTGTATGAAATGTCAAAAAGACAAGCGTTCATAGATCAAAAACTTCCTGTTGTGAAGGGTGAAATGACCGAAAAGGGTGAAATGTTTGAATTTCAACTTGACAGGACAGGTTCTCATGCCCTTTCCCTTAACAGCAGAGCAAGATTCCCCCAGAAGAATTTAATTCAGCTGAAAGGCACTTGTGGGCCTGCAGAACTCACTCTTTCTAACAAGGGTCTAGGCAAGAAATTCTGAAAGGAGGGGGCTTTCACGAAGTTATCAAATAAAAGAGCACAAGCTCCAGGACCAACCCAAAGAAGACTTTGGGTCTAGATAACTAAAGTCCAGGAACTACTCTATGGACCAGAACACAGGACAGAGCACACACTCAGCTCCAGTCCAAGGGTTAAGGCAGTTTCAGGCACTCAAACTTACTGCCACTTTCTAGTGATGCCACATATGTTGGTACTGTTGCAAAAATGAGTAAAATATTATATACCACAGAAATATGACTCCTGCCCAACCTGACTAAAAGTCAGCCTTAGAAATGTCTTAGGAAACAAAGAGAAATAGCCCTAATATAAATGGTGGGTGTGTATTTTTCCTGTTAAATATTTTTCATATTTTCCATATGGCTATCATACTATTCTTCATGCAACCTGTGATCACTCTTTGTGTTTGTCACCATGGTTACAACAGCAAAGGCCCTGTTTTACTTCCTCCATGTGTGCTACAGACAAAGCATCTGACAGAGCCCAAAAGTTTGTTGGAAACTCTAAATTGAATATGGGGTGACATACTCCCCAGCAAGAAAAGGAAAATCTTAGCTATGTCCTCCTTGATGCAATACTTTACTTTTCACAAATGGCTTATTTACTTTATCCAATAAGAATTCTCTTGGGGGGGGCAGAGCCAAGATGGCAGAGGGAAAGCAGTGACTGTCTTGAGCTCTCTCCCAAAGCCCTCCAAATACCTAAAAAAATGGCTCTAAACAAATTCTAAAGCAGCAGAACCCACAAAAAGACAGAGTGAAACAAATTTCTAGCCCAAGACAGCCTGGATGGTTGATCGGAAAGGTATATCGCGCCAGCGCAGTTCGGTGTGGGTGTGCAGGCCGCAGAGAACCTAGAGCAGACCTCAAAGGACTGAATCTCGGGCAGCTGTGGCAGTTTCCAGACTTCTCAACCCCTGAATGCCAAAGACAACTTAGAAGGTCAGTGGGAAAAGTCTGTGACTGCGGTGAGAGAGGAGCTAGGTCTCAGCCGCAAGTCTCGAGCGTGGCCCATTGACTGAGGGGGAATCGAGTGGCTGATCAGAGGGGAATTGCAAGGATCTCTTTGCCAGTGCTGAGGCAGGAATCTCTTGCTTTACCTGTGCTTGGATCTGGGTCACAGTTCTGAAGGGCGGTGCTGGGGCAAGGAGGAGCAATGGTGTGGTGGAGCTTGTTGTCGCTGTGGAGAGGAAACACCTCGCCCCTTATCATACCACTTTGGAAGAACTGAAAATTTACAGGTCCCTAGAAGTACCTCTGAAAACAGCTGTACAAAACCCCCGAAGCTTGGGACAGTACACTCTTCACTCTGGAAGCAGACTTTTACCTTAACAAAGAGTTTAAAACTCAAGTAATTGGCCAGGATCATGAGTAAGCAGCGCAAGAAGAGTCAGACTATATTATCTTACTTTGGTGACAAAGAAGATCAAAACATACAACCAGAAGAAGACAACAAAGACAAAGCTCCTACATCCAAAGCCTCCAAGAAAAATATGAATCAGTCCCAGGCCATGGAAGAGCTCAAAAGGGATTTTGAGATGCAAGTAAGAAAAGTAGAGGAAAAACTGAGAGTGATGCAAGAAAATCATGAAAAACAAGTCAACAGCTTGCTAAAAGAGACCCAAAAAAATACTGAAGAAAATAACACCTTAAAAAATAGCCTAACTCAAATGGCTAAAGAGGTCCAAAAAGCCAATGAGGAGAAGAACGCCCTAAACAGCAAAACTGGCCAAATGAAAAAGGAAGTCCAAAAGATTACTGAAGAAAATACTTCCTTAAAAATTAGAATAGAGCAATTGGAAGCTAGTGACTTTATGAGAAATCAAGACACTGTAAAACAAATCCAAAAGAATGAAAAATTAGAAAACACTGTGAAACATCTCATTGGAAAAACAACTGACCTGGAAAATAGATCCAGGAGAGAGAATTTAAAAATTATTGGACTATCTGAAAGCCATGATCAAAAAAAGAGCCTAGACATCATCTTTCAAGAACTTATCAAAGAAAACTGTCCTGATATTTTAGAACCAGAGGGCAAAATAGAAATTGAAAGAATCCACCAAGCCCCTCCTGAAAGAGATCCCCAAAGGAAAACTCCTAGGAATACTGTAGTCAAATTCCAGAGTTCCCAGGTCAAGGAGAAAATATTACAAGCAGCCAGAAAGAAACAATTCAAGTATTGTGGAAACACAATCAGGATAACACAAGATTTAGCTGCTTCTACATTAAGAGGCAGCAGGGCACGGAATATAATATTCCGGAGAGCAAAGGAGATAGGATTACAACCAAGAATCACCTACGCAGCAAAATTGAGTATAATCCTGCAGGGGAAAAAAGGGTCATTCAGTGAAATAGAGGACTTTCAGGCATTCTTGATGAAAAGACCAGAGTTGAATAGAAAATCTGATTTTCAAATACAAGACTCAAGTGGACCATGAAGAGGTAAACAGGAAAGAGAAAATCATAAGAGACTTATTAAGGTTGAACTGTTTACATTCCTGCATGGAAAGATGATATTTGTAACTCATGAGACTTTTGTCATATTAGGGTAGTTGGAGGGGAAAAAATTATATGTACATATATATAGATATAGATAGATAAATAGAGGGCACAGGGTGAGTTGAAAATTAAGGGGTCATATCTGGAGAATAAAATTAAGGGGTGAGAGAGGAATATACTAGAAGGAGAAAGGGAGAGGTAGAACGGGGTAAATTATCCCACCAAAAAAAAAAAAAACAGAAAAGAAAAGTCTCCTACAGTGGAGGGGAAATGGGGAAGGTGAGAGGGAATGAGTGAATTTTATTCTCATAGGATCTGACTTAAGGAGGGAATAACATACACACTCATTTGGGTGTGGAAATCTGTTTTACCCTACAGGAAAATAGAGGGGGAAAGGGACAAGAGAGTAGGGGAATGATAGAGAGGAGGGCAGATTGGGAAAGGGAGTAATCAGAAGCAAATACTTCTTAGGAGGGACAGGGTCAAAAGAAAGAATAGAATAAATGGGGGGGTGGGATAGGATTAAGGGAAATAGAGTTAGTTTTTCACAGCATGTCTACTATGGAAGTGTTTGGCATAACTGCACATATATAACCTATATTTAGTTGCTTGCCTTATCAATGAGGGTGGGTGGGGAGGGGGGAAGGGAGAAAATTTGGAACCCAAAGTTTTAAAAACACATGTTTAAAAAAAATGTTTTCACATGCAACTGGGAAATAAGAAATACAGGAACTGGGGTACAGAAATCCATCCTGCCCTACAGGAAAATTGAAGGGGAAGGGGATAAGAGAAGAGGGGGAGAGATAGAAGGGAAGGCAGACTAGGGGAAGGGGTATTTAGAATGCATGCCATCTTGGGGTGGGGGGAGCGGCGCGATGGGGTGAAAATTTGGAACTCAAAATCTTGTGGAAGTAAATGTTGAAAACAAAAAAATAAATAAAAATTACCATTAAAAAAAAAAGAATTCTTCTGGTATCTTGACAGTGCATAAAATATAATAGGAGTAGGAGGGAGTGAGGAGGTATAGATGAATGCCAAACTGATATCAACCTTTATCTCTTCCTCAAAGGATAGCCTGGTGTCAGCCCCATCTAGTCCAATCCTGGAAAAGCTGTATAACTTCTAGATTTATATGAGAAGGCTCAAGTCTATTCAGGAGATAACACAGGACAGTGAAAAGAACACTGGGCCGAGATTCTGAGGACCTGGATTCAAATCCCACCTCTGATGCTTACCCCATGTGTGACTTTGGGCCAGTCACCTGACTTCTTTGGGTCTCAAGTTTTTGTTTTTTTGGTTAGGCAATGGGGTTAAGTGATCTGCCCAGGGTCACACAGCTAGTGAGTGTCAAGTGTCTGAGGTTAGATTTGAACTCAGGTCCTCCTGACTCCAGGGCCAGTGCCCTATCCACTGTGCTACCTCGCTGCCCCTCTCATTTTTTTGGAATCTGTAAAATAAAGGGTTTGGATTAGATGGCCTCTGAGTTCCCTTCCAGCTCTAAGTGTATATCCCTCTGATCCTATTCCTCAGGGAACCTATGATGGTTTTGGGATTCTGAAATGATCGAGTAAACTGGGTCCACTTTAGAGATAACCTGATTCTTCAGGTCAATTCTTGAACTACTCTGGCTTCCAAGGGCTCTTTGGAACAGAAGGAGAACCTCTGGGCCACCATGATTCCAGACCTATATTACCAAGTGCTGGGCTAGAATTAGATACTTCCTAGGATTACCTGGGGAAAGAATGAAGTTTCCTGAAGCACTTGATTAAATGTCAGATTTACCAATCCTCTTGAGTTAGGTTAATATCACTATTCTCATTTACTTGGGGGATAAATGAAACACATGGAGACTAAACAACTTATCAGAGGTACCATGACTATATGCCATATACTACCAAAAGTTGCCATTTGCAACTTACGGGTATGTACATATTATAAACATACATATCAAATCTACAGACAGAAAAGACAGAAAACTAGAAAAGGGTGAAGGTAATGGTTTATTTTTTAGATAAGTTATAGGAGGGGCAGCTAAGTGGTGCAGTGGATAGAGCACCAACCCTGGAGTCAGGAGGACCTGAGTTCAAGTCTGGCCTCAGACACATAACACTCACTTGCTGTGTGACCCTAGGCAAGTCACTTAACCCCAATTGCCTAAAAAATAAAAAATAAAAAAAACACTCACCAAAAGGATAAACAATGAATGAAAATCTTACCTCTTACAGGAAGCCTTCCCCATTTAAAATAAATAAATAAATAAAGATAAGTTATAGGAAGAGCTTGACAACAGAATCATTCCCAAATTACCCTATATTGTTATTGACAAAGACTCAGAAAAATTAAGTGACTTGCCCAAACTCACACAGTAAGGTGGAAGACACAGGACTTCTTACCCAGTTTTTCTGACCCCAGTCCAGCCCTTGTTTGGAGACACAATGAAATGTGTCACCATCAATGGAATATCCAAGTGTCCTGACCCTTGTAATATCACCTTACAAGGGAATAATGTCTTACAGTTTTCAAAATACCTGAGTTTAGATTTAAAAATGGATTCAAGGTCCCCTCATCCTCATTAACAGTTGAGGAAACTGAGGCCTAGAAAGGTCAAGTGACTTGCCCAGAGATAATCAGTGGCAGTGTTGGGATTTTAGCCCAGGTCATCTGACTCCAAATCCCATGCTTTTTAGATTATCCCACGCTTTTTAGATTATCCCACTTCATCTTCACAACTTTGCAGGTTACCCAGGACAAGTGGGTAATGAGGGATAGAACAAGAATCCAGGTCTACTGACTCCCAAACCAGCATTCTTCCCCTAATCACCTACTGGGAGCTTTTAAATAAACCACTGGTACCATGAATGAAGAGATCCCTGGATATTTGTCAAAGACCTAACTTAAGAATCATGGAGTCACTGAGTTTTGGAGCTGAAAGAAATCTTGGATGACATCTTCTTGTCTACTATACCCTACGACTAAAAAGAAGCCATTCAGGCCTTAGAACTCGCTATGTTCTTTGCTCTGGAAAGGACTACTTCCTAAAGGCCTTTGCTACTCACCAACATCCTTCCAAATCCTGTAGAGGAGGAGATGACCTTGCTTGGTTCCCACAAGAAGCCATTCCTCTGGAAAGAAAGAGATGAAGTTCAGTGAGGCCTAATATAACCCTACTTCCTCCATCCAATACTCCCCACACCAGAATACATAAGTGTACTGTGAGGAAGGTGAAAAATCAGAGCAGCTTTCAAAAGCTGCTATCTTACAATGCTGGGGAGTGTATTCATTCAAGAGACCTCTAAGAATCAACTAATAAACTAACACATTTTTTTTAAGCCCAGCACTGTACTAGTCATTGTGGAAAATAAGAGAATTATAAGGCATCATACCGGCCCCAAATCTTTCAAAGACGTTTCAATAAATCAAGGACTTCTCTATGGGGAAAGATGATTAAAAATGAAGACATTTTAGATCTGGAAAGACAAATGCTGAAGAGATACGATTGATGTTTATAAAATCATAGATTATGAGCTAGAAAGAACTTCAGAGTCATCTAGATTCTAATCCAACTCCTTCATTTTATAAATCAAGAAAATGAGGCCTGGGAAAGAGATTTGCAAATGGTCACATAAGTTGCAAGTACAGGGATTAGAACCCTGATGCTCTGGAGCCAACTCCAGCACTTTGTCAGCCACAACACACAGTCAGCCCAGGTATAATGGTTTAATTTGTTGAGGATGAAGTCATAGAAGACAACTAACTATACCTTCTCACAATTGTTTCTTGGTACCAGTACAAAAGACTCAGTGCTGGATCACACATAGTTTGGTATTTATTCTCCTTTGATGCTAAGTCAAAGAACTGATCTTTGCCACAGATCAATGCATTGGTGTGGAAAGGATAAATGAGTAACCTAATCTGGTTTGTTTGTTTGTTTGTTTTTTTTAAGTTCATTTCCTCAGTGTCTAGAGGACAGGTAATTATTTTTTAAAAGCAAACAGTACATAAAAAGGAAAAGCAACGTGTGTCTTTTGAGACTTTTAAGTGGCAATGAAAAATAACACTGAATTACCGGAGAATTCTATTGAAACAGAATGTTAAAAAAAAAGAATTCTACTGATAGCATTTGTATTTTAAAGAAAATATACTGGATTTACAACTATATATTTAAATATTGTTACAGCAACGATTTAAAAGCTTGACACACAAATTACTAAATTTAAGAATATGAAAATCATATTAAATAAAAATTGGATAGATTGAATAAGAGAAGGAATTTTACCTTCATGTATAGTATACATAAAAATCTATAAAAAGGCTAACTTAAGTTAAAAGTGCAAACCTCTGACTTTACAAAGGTGAAGGCAATGAAATTACATTAGGAGTAATATGTATATACTTACTATTTTTCCATGCCCAACAATTACTAGATAGATAGATGGATGGACAAATAGGCAGATAATAGAACATTTATTAAGTGTTTACTACATGCCAGGCACCGCGCTAAATGCTAAGAATACAAATACAAATAAACAAGATAGTCTCTACCCTGAAGGTGCTTACCTGGTAATGAAGGAAGACACCATATAATAAGAGCTGGTGGCTGAGAAGTGAGATGGAAGCCTGATTCTGGCCAACATAAAGTGGAAGCTCACTATCAGAATCTAGGGTGGCTCCAGGGATGGGGTACCCCAGAAATAATGAGAGGGAAAGACAATACCTCAGGAAAAGGTAACATTACATACAATTGCTTTTCATGGATGAAAACAAAAAGACTGAAAAGAGCAACTTCCCTTTTTTGTACAGGTATGGGACTATGGGTATAGATCACTAAACATATTGTCAGATTTGGTTGATGTACTGGTTAATTTCTTAATGATTAGGGGTAGGGGATGAAGGTGATATAAAAACACAGCATATCAATCACAATCAAAAGAGAAAAGAAAATAGACAGAAAACACAGTTTCTTTACACCCATACCAAGATAGAGAGGGGAAGGGAACATGCATCTATTAAGCTCCTACTATGAGCCAGGCACTGTGCTAAGTGCTTTACAAATATGATCTCATTTGATCCTTATAATACTCGTAGAAGGTAGGTGCTATTATCATCCTCATTTTTTACAGTTGAGGAAACTGAAGCAAGCAATGCCTGAGGCAAAGTCAGGCAAACAGGTAAATGATTTGCCCAGGGTCACAAAGCTAGTGAGTGTTTGAGGCTAGAATGAAGTCAGGTACTCCTGACTTCAGGCTCAACACTCTATCCACTTCACCACCTAGCTGCCTCTTCCTTCTAGTACCCTAGAGAGTATAGGAAGAATGAAATAAAAACACCCACAAATTCACAGAAGACAAAATCCAAGGAAAGAGCTAGTGATAAAACCTGCGGCCTCAGACACTTAAACACAAATGCATAAAGTATAAGTAACAAGCAAAGAGAACTGGAGATACTAACACAAGGAGGCAAATTTGACCTCACAGTTATCAGTGAGATTTGGTGGAAAGAGACCTGCAGGGAAAAACAGCAAGCATGATCATTTCTTGACATCGTGATGGACCAAGAATGTAGAAATTCCCTCAACCACCTGGCAGCCTAACAGCAGAAAGTAGGGAGAAGTAAAACATAACAAAGCAGATGGTTGCATCCACTATTGTAGCACCTACTTATTATCCTTGGGTAAGAAACACCTGCAGTCTTGTCACAACTGTAAAAGTATTTATTACCTCCACTTGTCTCCTGCCCTTGAACAGGGAATGTCTTCCCTCTCCAATAACAAACCCTGCCAACTGCATGGTAAATATACCCCCAGAAACCTCACTTTTTTCCTCTGAATGAGGCCATTCTCTACCCTTCCCATTCCTGTGAAAAGTGTTACATTCTTTGCTTTTGTTTTAGCCTCCAATCTTTGACCAATAGTCATTAGACATTGGACCCGCTAACAGGTAATGTCTATTCCTAGACCTCCCATTCCTCTCAGTTGAGAAAATTCCCTAACAGTTATGTGAATGAAATATGGCTATGGAAAGGTATAGCTATTCAAAAGAAACAGAACAGATAAAAGGGTGGGGACAGAGTAGCATTATATATTAAATAAGATACAATCACAAGGAAATCCAGGAACCAAAGAAGGGGAAAGCATGGCACAGAACATTTCAATGAAGATAAAAGAGGACTGATACTGTTATCAGAACATATTTTAACCCACCTGGACTGAAAGAGAAAACAGATAACAAGCCTGAGAAAGAGAAAACAGATAACAAGCCTGCACAGAAGTATGATATGTAGTAGTGACTGAGGATTTCAATTATCCGGGTATCTGCTGGAGCTTCCCCTCTCTGCCAAAAGCAAAGCTCCTAAAAATGTGAATGATACCATCATTCAAAAGGTGGAAATTCCACTTTAGATAGAATCCTCACCAAAAGGAGGATCTAGTTTCAGTGTTGGAAGTGATGAAGACCTTGGTGGGGAAGTGGACTCTCCATCTTTTAAGGAGGAATTTCTATTTTAGATCTGATTTTCACCAGCCAAGAGGAACTGGTTTCAGTGATGGAAGTGATGGAGACCATAGAGGGAAGTGAGCATGAGCGCTCAATTAAAAATATCTGACAGAGAAGAAAGACACACAAAACCTCACACGACACCTAGATTTTGAAAGAGATTTTAAAAGGTTCATGGAAAGGCCAGTTTGGATCCCATGGACTAAAAGTACTGCAAGGAAGTCAGCCCAAGAGAGACAAGAAGCTCTCCAGAATGAAATTATCAAATGCATCAGGAGAAATACATCTTTCCACTGAGGAGAAAAAGGGGAAGGTTATGTAGACTAATGGGGAGGCACAGAGAACAAATCACTCATCTTTGATTTTTAAACATGGAACCAAGAACAGCTAACCAAAAATGAATTCAAAAACAAGGCATGGTCCGACAAAAGAAGCATCCAGGAGTAGGTGGTAAAGTTCTGAATGAGCTGAGTCTGTCAAGGAAAGCTAAGGACAACAAAGAGGGTTCTCTTAAAAGCTACACTGGGAAACGGAAGAGGATCAAGAGGCAATAGAACCCCTGCCTGGGCAGAGAAAAGGTAAGAGCTGCTTAACTCTATTTTGTTTCTTTTTTTTTTCTTTTTCTTTTTCTTTTTTTTGCGTGAAGAAAAATGATCTTATCTTTAAAATAAATGGCTCATAGTCAGTGGATATCCAAAATAAGTAGTGGTCCTGTGAACAGTCCAGTTTTTAAGTATCTTTCCTAAAATGTGGTGCCCAGAACTGAATATTACATTGGAGGTATGGTCTGACCAGGGCAAAGTTCTAGCAAGTATGTCTGGACTCCAGTGACCCCATCAAGCACCTGTGGGGGCTGTGTTAGTTCTCACCTGACAAGGTTCAGTCTTGGGGCTTCCAAAGCCTGGGCCTGTTTTGACTACTATCCTGGGCTTCAAAAATGGTTGATGAAGAAGAAACAAGACCAAAAAATAAGCCTGAAGCTTCCTTTGAAAATACAATGTGTCAATCACTGAGATAGCCTTGAAGATGATCCAGCACCTTGGGAAAAAAATATTTGTATCAAATATCTCTGCTAACAGTTTGGAAAGAATGCTCCAAATCACTACTAGTAAGAGAAATGCAAATCAAAACCATCCTGAGGTTTTATCTCAGACTTTGCAAATTGCCAAGATGACAAAAGGTGGGAATAGCCAACGTTGCAGGGATTGACAGGTGCACTAATATATTGCTGGTAGTGCTGTAAATTAGTACAACCATTCTGGGAAACAGTTTGGAATGATGCAACTCAAGTGGCTAAAATGTCCAAGTCATTTGACCCAGAGATTCCACAGATAGGTGTATGCCCCAAGAAGGCTGTTGACAAAAAAGAAAGGCTCTAAGTACACCAAAATATTTACAGCAGCATTTTTTGTGGTAGCAAAGAACTGGAAACAAAATTAATACCCATCAATTCAGGAATGGCTACACAAACTGTGGTATATGAATGTAATGGACTACTACTGCGCTGTAAGAAATGACAAACATGATGAATACAGAGAAGCATGGAAAGATTTATGTGAACTGATGCAAACCGAAATAAGTAGAGCCAGGAAAATAGAATACATAATGACTACAACAACTAGAACAATTGAAACTGAATGTTGCAATGTTACAATGAATAAGAATGGCCTTAAAGAAGAAAAAAGATATGTCCTTCCTTAGAAACTACATATATTTTCAAGGTGTTAAACTTTTATTTTTCTCTTCTTCCTCTTAAAAAAAAATAGAGGAGAGGAGAATGGGGGAAATAGTGAAGGAAATATAAGTGATGTAAGAAAAGATATCAATAAAAATCTATTTAAAAAAAGAAAGAGAGAAAAAAACCAAGTTTCATAGTGGCCTCTAAATCACGGCCAGTCTAAAACTGAGCTAGCTCTAATAATAAGGTGGTCAGAAGAGGTCACCCAGGGAGTGCAGGAATTAATTATTTTTAAAGATCTGCTATGGGGATATGTAGAGGTTGAATGTATATCTCACTAGCTTCATGCTAGGTGACAGAGCAAACTTTTAGGCTTGATGGGTCTTTAATAGCCATAAGGAAAGTCCAAAAAACAATAGCCCACAAAATTTACCAGCCCTTCCCACAGTTGGTGGTATCATAGCAACACTGCCTTGATCAAGGCAGTGAACAAGCAAAATAATGTTTTAATAACACACTGTCCTGTTTTCCACTTCTACTAAAATGTTCCCTTGATCAAGCATCAAAGAAGTCATAAAATATGGAGATAGGTTAGAGTGGTAGAGATGATTCTTCAGAGACTGAAACTATCTGATCACTCTCACTCTTTTATTTGGGATTTCTTAAGATAAACCATATCTCTCTTTCAGATATGGATTTCATGTGATCTAACGTTCCTTCTAAAGAGGGGAAAGTACAATATTCACATGAGTTTGTCAATCTGCCTTACATTCTTATAAGAAGGTACAGTATGTCAGTCAGCTGTACCTTTGGAAAACCTGAGGCACACAGACTTGAACGGGTTATATATCAAGCCAATGGCAAAACTATGGGGGGGTAGGAGGGGGAGAAGGGAGGAAGGGAGGGAGAGATGGAGAGAGGGACATACAGAGAGAGACAGAAAGAGAGAGAGATAGAGACAGAAAGAGAGAGAGAAAGAGAGTGTGTGTGTGTGAGAGAGAGAGAGAGAGAGAGAGAGAGAGAGAGAGAGAGAGAGAGAG